AATATGCGTCGCGACGGATCTATATTGATTGTCACACTTAGAGTTCCAACTACTTTTAAACGATATTTTTTTTTTTTCATTACGATATCTTAATGTTGCTCAGACATTGCAATGAGTTAGGCAACTAATTCTCAAACGTGTGCGCATACCAGGGATACAGTATAACCACAAATGACTTAACAGCGGATCGAACGTTGGAACAACGTTGGAAAATGTTTGTCATATTGATTTGGAAGTTCACAGCGAAGTGATGAACGTTTCTTGTGTTGAAGTAACGTTGAACAAATGTCTGTTTATCGGTCAAGGTTAAAAATCGGTGTGTGTTAGAAAACTGTTGTTACTCGATGCAGTCAACTAATTTTTAACACAAGGATGTATAAAAACATAACTTAGAAGACCGGGATTTTTTCTGTTAGACGCGTTTAGAGATATGAAAACTCACATATTAAACCAGAGGGAGTTTGCAGTAGGGATTGTTGGGGAGAGAAGGTATATCGAGTACGTAATTTACTTTTACGGGCAGGATGGCAATTTGCACAGTACTAGCTCAACGCTAGAGCCTGTGGAGCGGGCCAGAACAGAGCTGGAAAGGACATAGGGGTGTCATAAACTCCTATTTGGGTCCGTCATTCGCTCTTCTTTCCCCCTTTGCAATATTTCTATGTTACATGACCAGCGTTCAGGGACTCCCAATCTAGTCAGGCACTCAGACATTATTTAATCTAATGCTCGGGCATTTATTCGGTTGAATACTCAGATGAGTTGAGTAATCAGACATTACTCAGTCGGACACTCAGATGATACCCTGATTAATACTCAGATAATACTTCATCAAGTGCTCAAGGAAATACCCTAGGCGGAGTTCCGAAAAGTATTCAGAACTGTACTTGATACTCAAGGCAGTGTTCAGAAAAGTCTTCGCGCTGTATTCAGCACCCAAGACATTGCCAAAGTGCCTAGGGCATTATCCAAACAACAGACAACCGGAGAAACCTAGACTGAGTAACATACACAACAGTATCAACCTTGAACGGCACCAGAATGAATTATCGTCCTCGCAAGCAACAGACTGAACCCTCTCCCCCAGAGCGTGTGAACACGGGAACCCACGGTTCTCAATCGTTTATTTGAACATGGTAACTCATGATTCTCAAATATCTATCCTGGCAATAGGTTGAGGCACCATTTGAAGTGTGATGACATGTGAAGGGACGTTTTCATGACTTGATACTCAAAACCATACACAAGGCTATACTCGGCACTACACTTAAAACCATACTCAGAACCATCGAAACCGTACTCAGAACAGTACTTGGGACAACACTCAGTACAGTAGTTCTCGGAATGACACTAACTGCGGAGCCAATCACTACTCAATCTGTGTCTAATCAGTAAACAGCCAGCTCAAAAGGGGCAACAGGCATCCACTAGCAGGCAATCCACTTCCGAAAACAGCCAGCAATCAATTTCCAGAACGGCAATCAGTCAGTGGCATCGAGTTCTCAGATGGCAATCAGTGAACAGCACTCAGTTGAGTAAGTTACAAACAGCACTTCAGGGCGGCAATCTTAGTGACAGCAGACAAACAGTGACATGAGATCAATAACTGGAGAACAGTAACCGGAGAACAGCAACCGGAGAATAGCAACCAGGAACAGCGACAAGAAACAACAATTTGAAACAACCGTCCTAAAACAGCAATCTACCCAATGGCCTTCTCATACCTGGATCTTCCAAGAGTCACCCGTCTCGAGCTGGGTGAATTGATGCAGCGAGAGATCGGCGAGAATATGGATAGTAGCAACACAGTTAGAGTCTCCTGCTCGCTGTATCAGAGCACTGAAGAGACCTGGAGGGAGAGTGCAGTTGAGGAATACAATCTGCGGACTACTATGATGATGGAACATGCACTGGCCCTCGTGAGGAATCATACAAAAATCGAGTACACATACTACTTGCATGATAAGAACGGCAGACTATGCGCCACCGTAACTTATGTGGGTACTATTGAGGAGGCAAGAAGGACTGTTGGCAGCCATCAGTGAGCGTTTTGTCTCTGAATAAGAACGACTCACTTATTCGGACATTCAGCAGTCATTTAATCAGCAATTAATCATCAGCGATCAGCTATTAGTGATCAGTTTCTAGCAATCAGTTCCCTGCGATCAGTTTGATAGTCAGTTCTCTGGGACTATCTGGTCGGTTTGCACTGGCAAGAGTACTCATGAGCACAGTTCAGTCTACGCCAGTCAGTGAGTCAGTGTTGGCCAGCCTCAACCGGTTCTCATGCAAGGAGACATTCCGTTATCAGTGTGTCAGTGTCATTGGTTTCAGACAGGGAGATCTGTCAATCTTCATTGTCCAGACCAGTTTTGTTGATGGCACTATCCACGATCTGAGGCCCTACCTGAAGAAGGGCAAGGAGGCTCATGAACTTTTCGATCTAGTCTGGATCTCAGCCACCGAATACCTTGAGCAGAGAGAGAGGGAGCTCGATGAGAGTGGCGCTACGTTGGTCCGCAGCTTCGGGCCGATGGTTTATACTGACTATCTTAGGCCTCTAGTCCCGTCTCTTCTCATAGATGACACGAGTTGGGTGAATGTGATTGGTTTGGCCAAGAGGTACATCTCTCCGGCAGTGATCGACGTTGAGGCGCTGACTGAGCCCACCGAGTATCCTTACCGAAGACGAGGAGTCTTTTCAGTGGACGGACTGCCTGCTTTGTGGGAGGAGTTTTGCTCCATGGTTAATTACCATGTCATGTGCCTCGGATGGTCATGATCAGAGCTTGCTGGCTTCAGGTGGCATTTTGTCACCTAGCCTCAGTCTCAGATTGTACGTGGGCGTGGGTCACGGCACCAGAGAAGATCAGTGAAAAGAGATTGAGAGAGACTGACCTGAGGGATGAGTGAGGACTCTTGAGAGGTGCTGACCATGCTTGTTTATGTGTATTTTCTGAGATTATTATGAGTTTTCATTCTTTCCTCATTCACTTGATCTTGCCTTTGCTAAAGTCAGTCGATATTGCTTCGTGCGTTGTTTATGCATGATTATTTGTCTTGTTGGATGATTCTGTCACAATTCTCAAAATCAGATTGACATAATTGATGCATGCATAGCACCTCATAATTTTATGGTTATTATTTGCATAATTCTCTGCTGTTCCGAATCAAAATAAAAGATTCCTAAGACCGGGGACCGGCGAAAACCGCAATTGAAGGGTCT